ATTTACCTGTCCTGTCCACATGTTTCTGATTTACCTGTCCTGTCCGCATGTTTCTGATTTACCTGTCCTGTCCACATGTTTCTGATTTACCTTTCCTGTCCGCATGTTTCTGATTTATTTGTCCTGTCCACATGTTTCTGATTTACCTGTCCTGTCCACATGTTTCTGATTTATTTGTCCTGCCCACATGTTTCTCATTTACCTGTCCTGTCCACATGTTTCTGAGTTAACATGAGCTGCAAAGACTTGAAGGAGAAGAAAACTGGAAGAGAAAAAACAAGTTGGAAAAAAACAATTTTCTAAGAATTAAAAGGACTGTAAGCGTGATTTAAAGCGACCTTCAATGCAAAAATGGCAATGCCCGATTATAACGGCACATTTAAAAAAGTATCTGGTATTTATCAGATAAAGGTTTCAAAGTGCCGTATGTAAATCTGGCATTTTCATTTTGAAATTCACTTGAAATTTCGGTATAAGTCACAATATTGTGATTTTTATTTAAATAATTTACCGTCTACAGTCTTCTCTATCGAGGTGGTTAGAACCAAATCATGGAGTATAAAGAGGAACAAAAGTAGTCGTTGAATTAGAAACATTGCGAAAGATTTTAAAAGGCACAGAGTCCTTGTTTTATTTTTAAATATGTTTGCAACCAATGCAGTTGACTAATCATATCTCACACTATTGATGCTGAAATGAAATGGTTTACACCAACATGGGTTTAAAAATATAGAGATGGGGACAAGAACTGAATTTTTTTTTTCTTTGTGACATGTTGCTAAAAATTACGAACTGCTGTTGAAAATTCAGAGCAAATTTGGTAATTTCAAATGCTGAAGTAATTCAATGTTACGAAAAAATTGTTAGGGTTGCTACTAACATTAAAAGTAAAGTTGTCAGAAAAAAACTCAAGTTCAAGACAAAAAAATTTGCATAAAAAGAAAAAAAATTCTTATTTTTTTTATAGAAATTATATGTTTATATTTTTCTTAATTGGATATTATATTAATTTCTGTTATTGAAATGGGTATTTTTAAAAGTGTAAAAGTTTTTTACTTTGTCTAGTTTGTTTGAATTAAAATGAAAGTATTTTCACACCGAACTTTGTCTGTTAGAACGTACTCTGTTAGAAGCCCCCGTGCGATGAAGATTCCATATAGGTTTAAAGAAAATGTGAATCCCCGCATTTCAAGGATTTTTATATTCCGCTAAGGCTTATCTTCGAGCCTAGGGCGGCTGGGGAAAAGTTTTTGAAAATAAAGGGAAAATTCCGTTTATATTTGCGGAAATAAATTTTTTTTTTTGATGGGCGTTACGTTAATTTCAAGAAAGTTAACAAAGTGCAAATGTGCCCAGCTCTAAAGAAGTCTATTAAAGGGACTGCAAGTGATCAAGTATGAATTAGATATCTATGTTTGTATTTATTAAAACTGTTTATGTTAGATTGTGGTTTCTCTGCAATAATGACTGGCGCATTTCTTGCTCATATAAAAAATGCAGAAATTGTCCAAATTAAACACTTTCGATTTAGAAAAACGACGTTATCTTCCGCATTTGTTATCAGATTAAGGTTTGCACGAAGGGTTACTTGAAAATACGCTTATGCATCCATTTAAAAAATAAATGGTTGCTGTTTTTTTAAGTGTAGTGCTTAATAAAACGCGAAATTAGTTTAGAGTTTTTTGGTCATTATTCAAATGAATTTTGAGTTTGTACTTTGGAATAAGAAAACACATCTACATTAGTAAACCCCTCAAGTACAGTGCAAAAGCCTTATCTAAGGATTTGTCTAAATTCACTGTTAAAACAAAACTTTAAGATACTTTAAACTAAAACTTTTGCAAAAACGAGTTCTCGACATATCAGATGCTTATAACATGATGGAAGATGTAATAAAGGTATTCTATTTTCTATTTTTCTAATTTTTCTTACAGTCAATTAATAAAGGAATTGAGTCATTGCCACGAACTCAAATATTCAAAACTTTGGAACCTGATGTTGTAAACCTTTGATGTTTTAAATTCAGAATATTTGATCTAACAGAATTCATAGTTTTGAATATCTAAGGTCTACAACATTTGGTTCCAAAGATATAGTGATTAGAAAATCAGAGTTTGTGGCAAGGCTCAATTCCTTTATTTCCATAAAAAGATATTAAGCGTAATTTCAAGTTCCCCTTTATGCAATGATGACAATAACATCGAATGAAGGAAAGAGAAGTTTTAGCCTTCTTAAGAGAATACTTCATTACACCAGATGTACTATGACGGAGAGCAGACTTAACGATCTTGCACTTATGGCTCACTACTGAGAAAATCATTGAAATGTTTGTGCGCAAGCTAATCCCAGAAAATTGTAGCTTAAAAGAGTTGGTGAATATGTAGATGGAGTAAATTCCAGCTAAAAATTTCGGAAGAAATTTCGTTTATTAGTGAAAATATAATTTTTTATGATGCTGTGATAATTGATTTAGTTAGCTTTGATGGAGTTAAGTGATAAATTTATAAATTTATAAAGTTAAAAAGTTAAAGTTAGTTTAATTTCGAGCAAAGGAATAATTTTTAGACTCTATAAGGTCAGTAACACCCAAAAATGTAGTCTTTTTGATGTATTTTTATGGTGTTAATTGACTTTTTGAACAAAACAATTCCATGGGCAAACAAATTTTTCACAAATTTTCTAAATTGTATGTGTAAAGTATTTAATTTAACAAAAGAAACTTATTGATAATATTAAATTTGGAAATTAATCGATTTTTTATTGATATTTTTTTTATCTTTTTCACCAAAATCTAGCTATTGAATGTTGGTAATAATTATAATAAAGATTTGTACTTTAGTTTTCTAGTCACTTTAAATTTTTTTCTTATTCTAAAACTTTTTTTTTGTAAAAAAAATATTAATTGTTATCTAGCTGATGGTACAGTGCAAAAAAAAACTTGAATAATTGTATCAAAATTCAATTGGTCGACTTGTAATTTTGCCTAAATGCTCTAGTTGTATACATTGTTCAGAAGCCGGGGAGCTACTGCAGCGGTGACTTTAACGCGTTCATTTTGGAGAGTTTATTGCGGAGATAAAGATAGATAGATAGATATGGATATATATAGATAGATAGATGGATGGGGTTGGGGGATACCTAGATAGATAGATACATATATATAGTTAGTTGCCCAGTAAATTGTTCCAGAACATGAAACATAGTGTCGGCAGCAAACAGAGGTTTAATAAAACTTTTGGTTTGAGACTTCAACACTTAGCCACGTATACACTATTAAATTGAGTATCTATGAATATAAAGTTGTATTCTCTGTTTGTCTGTCTGTTTCTCTTTTTATTTTTGTTTGTCCGATCATAACTCGGTAACCCCTGGACCGATTTGCCTCAAATTTTGATTGGGGAACTCGGAAGACCCACTGAAATGTTCTTAGCTTGGTTTTGAGATTCTTAGTTAAGTTGGTCGACTTTAACATCACAAATTTAGTTTCCCCGTAAAATCGTTCAAGTGCGGGTAAACGGCGGGAGTAACTTTTTGTAACTTTGGCAAAGCTGGGTTCCCAATCTAGTTTAAGTATAAAGCACCAATATATCCCTAAATATATACGTGTTAATTCATCTACATACAGAGAACGTGTCTTATTCACAGCTGAACCCTGTAAACCTGTATCTGAGTTACAATAAGGAAGATATTGTCGTTTTTTGGATTTTTAAAGAGTTGAATTCTACAAAGTTCCTTCATATGTCGTCTTCTTCAGATCCTACAATTGATAATGATTTTTTTTTTTACTTTAAAAAACTAGGATGTATTTTAAATATTTTTTCTTGCTGGGTGGGGGGAGGGTTCAGCACCCGTTGGGGTCACTTGAAATTACGTCTAAAAGGGAGTGTTCGCGAAAATAAAAGTGGGTATAGGCTTAAGACGAAAAATAAGCGCTTTTGATGGCTACTAATCTTACTTCTATCTGTTACGTCTATTAAGAGAAAAATTCAACTCGGATCGTAATAATATCAATTTAATTCCAAACAAATCATTCAGATATTACAAACAATAGTCATCGATTATTTATTTATCATTCTTTGATATTTCATAATATTTTTCGTTTTAAAAAAAATAATATTTCGCTTTCGCTGGATTTTCGAACATTCCTGGAATATATGAAAATGTCGTCTTCATTATCTAAAATCCTCGAAACAGGAATAAATGCTTTCAAAAGTAACTATCAGATCTATAAATAGCAACTTTATACGAATGCGTCGAAAAATTATTGGTGATTTTTGATAATGCTTGTAATCTGAATGATTTGTTTGGAATTAAATTGATTTTTTTACGATCCGAGTTGAATGTTGCAACTTTCTGAATTTGTATGGACGCTTCTATAGAGAGATATACCCGATTTAAAATTTAAAGCCTTGTCTGAATAAGTATGAATTAGATATCCCTATGCTTATAATTTGGAAAACTGATTATTTTCAATTGTTCTTTCTTTACAATTTGACTAGTGCAAGAAAACAATGTAAGTATTATCAGAATTAAACACTTTTTAAACTGTTCGTTTTATTGATAATTTTAAGGTTTTAAGGTTACCGTTGTGGACGTGGTTACCTCTTTAAATGTAGGTTTTTAAAGTTACAACGACAGGAAACCCCTGAGCAAGTCCGAAGTCAGATTTAAAAATAAAAATGTAAAAGAGGGATTGTTAGCATTAAATATCTACGTAATATTTTAAATATATATAATTTAATTGTATGTTTGTTTGTAACCGATAAACGGCAAAACGGTTGAACCGATCAGGCTCAATTGTTTTCAAAGAATTACAAAACATTGTCTCAAAAACTTTTTGATTTTCGTAAAATGTTGAAAATCCACGAAAAAATATTATCAAATCCGCGAAACTTTTTTTATTGTTTTATATTGTACTAAGAGAAGATTTCACAGGAAGAAAAACAATTAAATGTTGAAGAAAAAGCCTAGTTTATAAATTTATATTTAGATAGATATATAGGTATATGGACTTCATTGCAGAAAGACAGACAGGCAGGTTGATAGAAATATAGATAAATAGGTAAATAGATATAAATAGATATAAATAGATTCTAGTACAATTGATGGCCACGTAGAATTTGTACACTCTCTGTACAGTTGTATTCTGACGTCACAAGTGTCAACTCAGTTTTTGTGTCCGACAAAATTATTTTTAAAAAGTGAAAATTTTAGATACAAGTGCTTATCTTACAGTTATATAATTATAATTTTATGTGTTCTTTATTTCTGTTTTTACACTTGTTTATTTAATCTTGGAAAACATGTAAACTAATGTGAGAAAATATCGTTTTCCTGGTTATATTTGACACTTGTGACGTCGTGTGTAATTGGTTCAATTGTACTTGATAATCTATTTGGATAGATATTTAGATAAATAGATAGATAGATAAGTAGATAAATATATGGATGTAGTAAATGCCCTACTCCATAAACGGCTCTAAGACCCGTATGTATCTACACAGGAACAACTCCGATTTTCTTGACTCAATGTCAACACACGGACACTATTTATCAACGCCAAACCAATGGGCGCGATCTCGTTAGCTATCGATGTCAAACGGACACTAGCTCAAATTCTATTAACGCCAAACCAATGGGCACAATCTCATTAGCTATCAATAACAAACGGACACTAGCTCATACTTTAACAACACCAAACCAATGGCCGCAATCTAAGCTCCTATGTTAATATAACGTATTTAAGCAATCACAATATGGGTATGACGGAGTTATTTTTATCTACATATATTGATTGGGTTAATCGCAATACATGATTTACATATTTACTAATGGCCACATTTACCTATATGGACAATATATACAACATAATTTACTATGGGGCCTCTGTATTTGCTACATGGATAGATAGATAGATAGATAGATAGATAGATAGATAGATAGATAGATAGATAGATAGATAGATAGATAGATAGATAGATAGATAGATAGATAGATAGATAGATAGATAGATAGATAGATAGATAGATAGATAGNCCCCCCCCCCTGCAGGTTTCCCAGAATGAACCAGAACCAACTGGTTATATCAACCTATCAACGAGGCGAATTGATACATCACTGTATTCAACAGAGCAACTATAATAAGAACAAACTCAGTTTAGCGTCCACCAGAGGAAACAAACGAGATAAGGATAAAATCTGCTGAATATTTTGCATACATTTACTGACTAGAGGAAAGATGTAAATGAAAAAGGTCTTGATCTGACTGATATAGGGAGAGCTATTATGCTTCAAAACAAACAGTATATCCCATCTCTTAAACCATTTCCCTTAGTCTTGGAATAAAAGATAGCCATAAGCACAATCACTGCTGCAGAACCTCTTGAAGCCCTGGTACCCTGAGAATTCTTCCCAATCGTGCTCCTCCTGCAAGGTACAGCATATCCAGCAGCAGATCCACTGTATATTCTGCTGTTCATGCTGCTCCTCCTGCAAGGAACAGCATATCCAGCAGCAGATCTACTGTATATTCTGCTGTTCATGCTGCTCCTCCTGGAAGGTACAGCACATCCAGCAGCTGATCTACTGTATATTCTGCTGTTCATGCTGCTCCTCCTGCAAGGAACAGCATATCCAGCAGCAGATCTATTGTATTTTCTGCTCTCCATGCAAAATTACCATTATACCTAATCTGATGATAGTCATGCACTTATGTTCGCTATCTCCATTGTTGATACAATGTATTTTTTTTTTACTAAGCTAAATGTAAAATTGCTTCTATAATGAAAACTCAATCTATAAATATAAAGTGGTAATCTCTGTTTGTTTGTCCGATCATAACACAGGATTCCCTGGACCGATTTGCCTAAAATTTGATTGGGAATGGGGATGTTCTTAGCTTGGTTTTGAGATTCTAAGTTGAGTCGGTCGAATTGAATATTGAAAATTGAGTCTTCCGGTAAAAGTGCGGGTAAACGGCGGGAGTAATTTTTAGTAAC